TTTGGAGACTCTAGCTTTAAAGATGTAGGAGATATAAATGTATTACTGGTTTTCGATAATGTTTGTAATCGATACCAAAATAACGGGGCAATTTATCGATATTTAAAGCAAAACTCGATATGCGCGTGCTATACACGAACCTAGGAAAAAATTTCAAGTCTCTAGCTTTTATATCTTCTGAGATCGACGCGTCCAAACATACGGACAGACGGAGAGACGGACAGGGCTAAATCGACTCAGCTCGTCGCCCTGATCAAGAATATATATACTTTATGGGGTCTGTCACGCCTCCTTCTGCCTGCTACATAAATTTAACAAAACCATTATACCCTGATTTTCAATGGTTCAGGGTATAAAAATTAGGCAAAAGTATCAACAACATGTATTTTGTCTTTAGAAGACACACATATGTATACTAGGATATGTTTCATTACAATACAAGATAAACTCCAATACTCCCGATTATTCCATACATTGAATATTCATAGATCTTAAATATAAAACAATTAAATACAACATATCGATAATTGATGGACCACCGCCTAACACTAGCAATTGTTTTCCTAAGCGGTATCATGATATACACTCATGATGAAAATTATAAGTACACGAAAATAATTTTGGAAATTTTTCCAAGACTAATTAATTTTTGGTATTTAAAAAAAAAACTGGATGGTAACTTTAAGAACGGAACCTGGCAATGTGATGCATACCATATGTCACAATTCAATTTAAAAAGCTTGCTGAAAATAATAGGTACACTTGATTTCTTCAGCCTGAAAAATAAATTTAGAATACGAAAAGTTTATTTTATTGTTGTACAATAGTAAGTATTCTTCACACAGATGATAAAAAAGTAAAACAATTATAAATATCCTGTGTAGATGGGTCGAAATATTCGTTGTTTGAGTGAGGAACGCAGGCTTGCTAAAAACCTTAGGAGTGGCAAATTTTTGCTTGAAATTGCGAAACTAATGAACAGATTTCAACTTTGTGTACAATGTTTTATAGGTACACAATAAAAAGGAAACACGTGGACGTCCATCGAAAACCACACCAGAATTGGAACGACGCAATATAAGAATTGCAAAATTCGACCCTTTCAAATCTTCAAGGGTCATTGCATCCGAAATGGATAATATTATTAACGCTTCTTCAATTGGAAGACTATAAATGACTAAACTACCAGTTCGTATTAAAGGAGGGTTTCTACGTTGATGCGCACCTACTATTTGAGCATGAGGCAAAATTTTGTTAAAGACCACATCATGTATGCACACATGCATACACACGCACGTATAATCGTGCGTTGACTGCGCAGTTAGCAGCCACAGCGCTTGGGCTGCGCTGCAGTGTGGGCAATATTATCAGAATTTAATTGTTTAATAGTTTCTTTTGTAGATGGACTATCTTTATGAAACTTTCAGAGCGTGATCATATGATTAGAATGTGTGTACATTCCAAAGCACAAGTCTAGTACTTGAAATGCGTTTTTTACAAATTGATGGCGAAGGGGGTGTGGTATCCAAAATCTTTAAATTACAAAATCTTTGTATTAATCAACGGTATATACACAGTCTGAAGTTTCTAGGTCTAAAAGTGTTCAAAAAAAACTGAAAAAACACAATCAATTTTTCGAGTATTCTCGATAAAAAAAGTTATCGGATGAGCTATCGAAAGAATATGGTGAACTTGTACTCCGTAGGGTACACACGAGTATGCATGCCAAATTTAAGCTCTCTAGCACTTATAACTTCTGAGATCGACGCACTCATACGGACGGACAGACGGACAGGGCTATATCGACATAGATCGTCGTGCTGATCAAGAATATATATACTTTATGGGGTCTGCGATGATTCCTTCTGCCTGTTACATACATTTCACAAAACCATTATACCCCATTTTCAATGGGTTCAGGGTATATAAAAAAAAAAACAGTGGCGGTGGAAACATTATGGTGTGGGGCTATTTCTCTTGGTATAGAGTAAGTCCGATTTTCCTAAAATCTGACATTATGAGAGCAGCTGACTACAGGGATATTCACGAAAATATATATGCTGAGGAAAACATGGCCTTGCACCCGAAACACGTCTAAAATAGTAAAAACTTGGTATGAGGTTAATAAAGTGGACACTGTTTGCTTGTATCGAAAAACTTGTAGAGTGAATTGAAAAAGCAGATGGTAAAACAAACGCCAATTATGGGACTACGTCCAAGATACTTGGACGGAAGATTCCGATTGAGACCTGTCAAGCTTAAATTAGGAGTATGCCCAACCGGATAGAAAAAGACGTTAAAAAAAAAGGAGGATATACAGGCTATGACTTGAATGATTTGAATTTTAAAAATTAAATACAATCTACCAAAGAAATTTTTTTTTATTATTTTAGTCAAGCACAAAGAGTTGCATTTTCGTTTTTTTTGTTTGTAACTTAAAAAAAAAAAAGATTTTTTTTTTCAAATTTACTTATTTTCAATAATATATACCTAATACATAAATGTGCATTTAAATATTGACGTTTAGGGCAGTAGAAAAAAGTAGAAAAACTCAATAAAGTTAAAATTTTAGGGATGTACCTATTATTTCCATCATGAGTGTATGTATGTGCGTTTACAGAGTATTGATTGATAGATTGATAATGTAGATATTCATGAATTGTGGCTAAGGAACGAAGTTCGATCCATTTAGAATAGGGAAATACACTTTCGACACACTGAGGAGAGTGAGAGAGAATATTTGTAAAAACTTCGGCTTGCCAGAAGTTAGATTATGTATTGGAATTGTTTACTCGTATTACCCTGTTATACTAACCTTGACGCAAAAGTTCTGTTTCTTGCTCATAGCGAGCATACTCCATCTGAGCTTCAAGCTTTTCTTCTTCCATTTTGAGCTCCCGCTTGAGTGCATCTTGCTTGCTTTTAAATAGATCATGCAGCTGCTTCCATCTGGAGCCGTACTCGTGCTCAAATGAATTTTGGTCGGCAAATCGGGGACCAACGCTGCGCTCCTGATTGAACTCTTGCAGCTTCTTATTGAGCGCCTTCTCGGGCAGTCCGTCGTTATCATCGTTGACTTCCATCGGTTCCACTAGGCACGGACGCAACGAGGCCGTTAAAAAGAAGCATTTCTCATTGCATAAACGAAGGCATGCACTGGCCGATGACTTTTTAGCAAATTCGACAGTGCCCTCGCCTAAATGTTTGCCACGATCGTCGACTGTAATGCTGGCCCGCTCGACCGGCCCAAAAATCTCGAAGGCCTTGTACAGCAGCTCGTTGGACACGAATGGTGTCAAATTGCTCACACGCAATATGGTTGCATTGGGGGCGAAGCGAACGCGCAACTGACGCCCTTTGCGCATTGAGCCGTCTAAGGCGCGTTTGGCCTTTTCGGCATTAACGTGATAGTCGACTTTAAGGAATGTGAAATTCTTTTCAAGATTTGAAAATATCTCGCCTATTTCGCCGTACGGCTTAAACATTTCTCGCAACTCCTCATCGGTTATGTCATTGGTTAAATTGCCAACATATAGACGATTGCGACCAGAGAACTTCGTCTCTTGCGCGACCTCAATCGGTGGCAGTTCGTGGGTGGGACCAGAAATGCTGCGTAGACGTTGGGCAATAAAGAAGTCATCGCCACGTTGCGAATTATTACCGCCCCCAGAATTTGGTCCGCCGCCGCCACCACCGCCGCCACCACCACCACCACGTGAGCCGCGGTTCCTATCACGTCCACCACCGCCGCCGCTGTTGCCTCCTCCACCTCCTACTCCGCCACCACTGCCGCCGACACCACCACCACCACCACCGCCGCCACGAGCCCTAAACGCTAAGTGGGCATGAGCTTGAGCCTGTGCTTGAGTTTGTGCCTGGACTTGAGCTTGCGCCTGGGCTTGGGCTTGAAGCTGTGTCTGGGATTGGGCAGCAGAATTCGAATTGGATTGATTCGCGCTGTTTGCTTCGACAACTTTGTCATTAAGATTTCCTCCATCCGTTTTTGGTGGTTCTGTTGTCGACTTTTGTTGCTATATATGTGTGTATTATATACATATACATACGCATGTATATATTGATGAGTATATAAAAAAGAAAGAAATGTGATTTACACTACGGAAGCTATCAACTACGAAATTTCCTTTCAAATTTGCACAAAAAATATTCCGAGATTAAAAAAAAAAAACACATTTTTGTTGTGGATTAAAATCCAACCAACAGCAGCTGGATCAACTGATAACTCTGAAATATTTAAAAGTAACTTGAGCTTCTTTCCCTTTCTACCTAAAACTAGCGACAAACTTTAATCTTGAACAAAACAAAAAACTTACTTTAATT